AAGGAGGGAGAGAGAATGCCACATGTGTGCATGTGCCTACCTATCTACCAATGCCAGAAGTTTCTGGAGCCCCTGAAGCTAGAGCTATAGGTGGCTGTGATGTGCATGTGTGGAGAGGAGGGACCTTATAATAGATATACTAATTTTTGCAGAATTTCAGATATAACCATTCCATTTATATTATCTCTATCATTTTTCTTGCCTCTAACTTTTCCTCTGTCCTATTTCTTTCTTAAACCCATCATTTCTTTTTTATCGGGTATTTTATTTACATTTCAGATGTTATCCCCTTACCCCATTTTCATGCCCGGCCAGGAATGCCCTATCCCATCCCCCATACTCCTGCTTCTATGAGGATGTGCCCCTCACCAACACCCCCACTCCTACCTCCCCACCCTCGAATTCCCCCACATTCAGCGTCCAGCCTTCATGGGACCAAGGATCTCCTCTCCAGCCTATGCCCAAAGATTGGAGTTTAGAATGCTGCCGTGCATGCTCCTTCTCCACACATTTCTGTCCAGAATTGTACTGTGGGAACCAGAAGTGGTATGTAAGGAACACAGAGAGAATGGATTTTCTCACTTTTATCACCTAATGTCAGGAGATGTTTGAAAACTTTGACATCAGAATATCCTCCCACCCCTTTTTTGAGATAGGGTTTCTCTGTGTACCCCTGGCTGTCCTGGAACTCCCTCTGTGGACCAGGCTGGCCTCAAACACAAGAGATTGCCTCTGCCTCACGAGTGTTGGGATTAAAGGTACATACATACCACCACTGCTGGCATTTTCCCCCTATTTTATGAGCATGACCAAAATCAGCTGAATCATTTTGACGAAACAAGCTTTCAGATGACAAGCTAATCATTATCTTGGTGTGTGTGGCTGCCCCGCCCGTGGTCACATATTTAGTTTAGCTTTGCCTGTAGTTAAGAGTACAGGTTTAAAGACCAGGCATAGTGGCACATGCCTTTAATCTCAGCACTTGGAAGGCAGACTGGGATTTCTGGGTTCGAGGCCATCCTGGTCTATAGAGTGAGTTCTAGGACAGCTAGGGCTATGCTGAAACACAGTCTTAGAAACACAAAAATAAAACAAAACAAAAACTCAGCAACAAAAAGAAGAGTCTTAAGGGCAAGGACCAACGGCACAAAGAACAGTATAAATACCTTTTCTCCAATGCCTATGGGTACTACATATTGTTTATATAGAAAACACAGAATAAAATATCCATCGCATTAAAAGAAAATGCCTCTTCATACAAAGTCTTTTTATAGACTCTTTGGTTTCCATGATACTCAGATTCTATTCTCGAGCAGTAAATTCAGAGTTTCGGGGGAGTCCATGCCATCATTTATGCAGCCTTCAGTATGAACATTTTTTTTCTTTCAATAACTTTAAAGTTGTCTCCCTTTAGCTTTTATTCATTAATGCTTGTTCATATCACTGGTGCCAGTCTGTTTATTTAACGGATCAGCCCTTCGAATAGTATTTTCCCACACATCTCCCGCCATTCTCCATGGTCCTTTTGGAAGGGCTTAACAATTCACTATCCACATCCAGAATTAACACATGGCTTGTGAATGTCCCTCATGAAAGTGGGATCCAGGCCGATCCCTACAACAAACCAAGTTGAAAAGGAAAACTGGATTCTTGCTGAAACTGTGAGGCAGCAAGTCACTTAAATCAGATACTAAAAGCTGTAATAAAAGTAATTTTCAAAGGAGTATTGGAATCGGCTATGTGTCCCCTCAACACACTCGATTTTGCGATGGAAGTCCAATTTCGTTAGGGTTCAAGCTAAACTGTAAATCTGGGCCAAACTCCCCTTCTAGGGAGGCGGAAGTAGACATTCACTTCCGGGCCTCGTCCAGAAACACTTCAGAGCTGGATTGGCTCTGCAGCTTTCCCACAGGCAATGCTCATGTAGGGGCGTGGCCACGCGTGCGTGCTATCCGAGTGCCCGCCAGGCTGGTTCTGCGCAAGCTCACAGGAAGCGCTCGCTAACTGCTTCCGGAGAAGGTTACTTGAGGCATTGAACGGCGTGTAGACCCACGACTTTGGAGTTTGGATTTAGCCGCTTTCGGGCTCTGTGCGCCTTGCGCTTTCAGTGGAGTAGGAAGAGGCGTGCGAGACTCCTGACTTTCTGTGCTCCTGGGTTTTGAGACCGTAAGTTACAGGAACGGCGAACTTTTGGTTACCGTGGCAACCGCCGCCACGCCAACCTCCACCAAGCCAGTTTGAGTCTTTGAGGGCCAAGGAATGATACTTACTAGACGAAAAGGTAGCGTCTTTTCTGTACAGTTCACTTGCGTGTGGATTAGCACGTGCTGAAACTGATACTCTCTCATTTTGGAATAGATGATGAGTGATTTTAGTGAAGAATTGACAAAGCTTGGTGTGGCAGAGGAAAACCCAGACACTTCGGTGTTCTCTAACAGAGGAATGCGTTTCCCATGGCTTCAGAAGCACGTCGAAGCTGTAGGTAAGCGACACAACATCGGAGCCTTTCACTTCACCGCCAGGAAGTGCTAGGAGTGAACACAGACAGAATGAATGCCAGGAAGTGCTAGGAGTGAACACAGACAGAATGAATGAATACTCAGGCTAGTTCGCTCTTCTTATTCCCTTTTTTTTCCATTTTATTATTTTAGTTTTATATTTTATTTGTTGTTGAAACAGGGTCTTGCTCTTTGTCCCTGGTTTGCCTTGAACTCACTTATATAGCTCAAGCTGGTTTAGAACTCGTGATTGGTCTCTTGCCATGGTCTCCACGTTCTGGGATTACAGGTGTGAACCTTGATGTCTGTTTATCTTTTTAAGGTTAGATGGGGTGGGGGGGGTGTTACTCCTTCTCTTTCATACAGCTGTAGACAAAAGTGAAATTATAAGAAATCAATTTTTGTTTTAGTTTTTCTTTTTATTGGAACTAATAACACATAGTCTATATTATGGTAGATAGATACTTATACTTTTAGATTTTTAGTTCTTTTTATGGAGCACTTATATCTTAGCATTGGCAAAATATTGGGGACTTACAGCTGAAGAAAATATGATCTGATTGAGGAGTACACACATAGGAAGTGTTAAGGAAATTTCTGCCGATTGGAAATAGTTCCATATAGAATTGATGACGTAGTATATTTGAAAAGCATTTTTCTTTGTTATAATCTAATGTAGATGCAGACAGGGTTTTTCGTGAGTTAACTTCTGTAAGACTCTATAAAGACGTGGTGATTGGTGTGCTGCCATGCCCGACAGACCTGTAAACATGCACACCAGCACTTTTCTTGGCTCCTAGAGTTTAGCTCCCGTTTAAAAAGAAAACTTCATTTAATTTTAGATTCTCCATAAGTTAATCCTCAGTTAGTGTTTATACCCTGGCATTTTTCATGTGAGGACACTGGATTGCAAAGAAATTGAACTTTTTTTTGAGACAGGATTTCTCTGAGTAGCCTGGAACTCATTCTGTAGACCAGACTGGCCTTGAACTCAGAGATTCGCCTGCCTCTGCCTCACAGCTGCTAGGTTTCAGGTCATGCTCCACCTCACTCAGAGAAATTAAACGCTGCAATAGTGATTATGGAAGCAAATCAGGTGTGTCCAATCTCAGCTCCTGTCCTTTTAGCCCTAAGGAGATAGCAAGCTGGAGCTTGACTGAGAGCAGTCCTTCGTGAGGGGAATGAAGGCTAGTTATTTGAGCAGACATTTTGACAGTTTTCTGGGCTGGTTGCCTGGGATTGTTGGCAATGTGAGCAGCTTGCTTAGTTCTTGTTAAATACAGAGAGCCCGCTTCAGTGAGCCCGCTGAAGCGAAGTCGTCTCCATTTCTAGTTAGCTTTCAGGTAATTCTAGTGTGCTGCTAGTTTCAGGAGCATGTGAGCAGTAAGGCTGCGGATCCCAGATGATTAGAGTTTGCGTTAAACGGTCTGGGAAGTACCTGGTCTGTGCTGTAGACTTCTTCCCGCCCACATCTCCCCTCAAATCAGGGCCTTGCGGACCAGCCTGACCAGCCTGGAACTTGCTACCCAGACCAGGCTGGCCCCAGATCTGCAGCTGTCCTTCTACTTTTGTCTAAGTAACAGATGTGTGTCACCATGCCCTCCCCCCCCCCATCCCCAGAGGCTGTAGTCTTTATCAGGGTTCTACTTACATGTTGCCTACAAAATTTGTTATGTGTAGTGTCTCACAGCATTCATTTAACTGTCTTGGCAGTTTTAAGGTGTTATATAAATTAAGTTTAATAGTTGCAAATGATAAAATTTTCACCACATGATGGATTTTTAAAATGAAATTGTTACTTTGAAAATCCTGGTAACATCTAAATCATGGTAGAAATGTAATATATTCTGTTACTAGTTTTTAAAAATTGAGAAAAAATCTTTTAATAGATGGAAGTTTTTAATTAACTTATTGATTAACTAGTAATACATTTGGCTTTTCAAGGCATGAGTTCTCTGTTCAGCCGTGGCTGTCCTCGAACTCACTCTGTAGACCAGGCTGGCCTCAAACTCACAGATACCTGCTTCCGTCTCCTGAGCACCGAGATCAAAGGCCTGCGCCACCACACTCAGCTAGATGGAAGGCTTAGAGTATTGGTTTTTGAGTAAGTGTGTATTACTGCATACATACTCTTAATGCCTTGTACGTTGTAAGTATTAAAGTTTGTTTTGAGATAAGACATGACTGTAGCTTTTGTTGGGACTTAACCATTAGAGTAGATTTTAATTTTTATTTTATCTCAGCAAGATAAGGGTACCACGTTTTCCTCAGCTACTTTATAAATTGTTCTGTATTTATCCCCCTCCCTCTGACACGTACACTTGAGTTTTGAGCAGAGTCTTGCTATACCCAGGCAGGCCCCAGACTCAGTTCTCTAGCTATGGTGGGATTAGAGGTGTGAGCCACACAGTTTGACTGTTCTGTATTTTTATTTCTCTCTGGAAGAAAGACTTCATCAATTCTGTTATGTTTGTTTTAATTTCTCTGAGAAGTTTGGGGTCACACAAGGAAGTGAATGAGGTAAAAGTTTAACCAGTATATCTGAAGTTTCACAATGAGCTCTTAAAAGTTACTAGTGTTGCTGGGCAAGGGTGGCGCACGCCTTTAATCCCAGCACTTAGGAGGCAGAGGCAGGCGGATCTCTGAGTTCAAGAGGCTAGCCCAGCCTTCAAAGTGAATTCAAGGATATCCAGGGCTATACTGAGAAATCCTATTGTGGAAACAAACAAAATAAATAATAACAAAACAAAAGTTACCAGTGTCAAAGCCAGGTATGGTGGCACATGCCTTACCTCTTGGGAGATAGAGGCTACCAGATTTCCGAGTTCCTGAAGAAAAAAACAAAGTTGCCAGTGTCGCTGCAGTTGTAACACAGTTTGAAAATCATCTGACTTGCAGAGGGCAGTGTTGGAATCATTCACTCGGGCCCATCTTTGCTCCAGGTATTCCGTACATTTGGCTGTAAGGCCGTGAGCCCTGGCACAGCTCTCTAGAAGGTCAGTTTTAGGAAGGAGCATATGAGGATATGGGTATGCGCATTGATTGTGTGCTCTTTCTGTTTGTTTGGGGCATGCTGGGAATCAAATCCAGAGCCTTGGAAGTAACTTGTACTGCCACTGAGCTACAGCCTCTGCCTTGGCTGTTTATGTGTGTATGTGTGCATGTTAAACTTATTTTGGTTTTCATGTGTATGTATATTTGTGTGTGTGTGTGTGTGTGTGTGTGTGTGTGTGTGTGTGTGTGTGT